TGTGAGCTTTTGTAGCTCAAATCTACTTCCTCAAATAGTTTTGCTACTGTTGGTACATTTTGCATATGATTTCCCTCAGAGTTCAACAATTACACTCCCCCCTTGCACCAGAACCAGGTCAATATCTAAGGAAATGAACAGACAGACAGTGCCTTAACATTTTAATGACCATCTTCTCCCATATGAATTACCCAGGAAATTAATATTGTCCACAGATGCTATTTTATCCAACGGAAACAAAATGACACAACTCCCTATGAAAACTTTGAGATGCTTTAGAAATGTTTGGTACTGTACTGTTTTTTCTGTAACCAATGACTGTATGTGTACAAGCCAGGGGTGGGGGGGGAAGCTAGGTGAGAAACAATGTTGGCCTATGCTCTTTGTACGTAAATGTTTTTGCATCATTTCATTTTTGTTTTTAAATGACTGTAAAATTTTGATCTTCTGAATTAGCTTACATTTTAAATCTATAAATAACAGTTGCTGCATTATGTTTTACACCTCAGACTGGTGCTCCACCCACTTGGCATTCTACTCCTTTGAGTTAGGGATTTCTCTCTCATTACTGATGATTACTTGCTAGTACCCGTTATAAACGCTGAATTAGTACTGGAATCAGTTTAATGTCTTCCCACATTCTGAACTGAAAGTGGGATTATGGCTATTTTTACCTCAAAGGACCTCCTAACAGCACTAAAAACCGACAAATCAAGCAACCATCTCCTCACTCCCTTGAGGCGTTTCACAGTTTTTCTTACCTTTCCAATGAGCCTTCAAGATTCATTCAGTATTGCCGCTGTTTGCATTCTGTTCTATATTCCAGTATTTTGGTCATGGGACTTATTTGTTGTTTATAATTGCATTATAGCATGCACTGTAATTGTGAAAATAGCCCCTTTTTGATCTATAGATTGGAGTGTGGAGTGTGAATATGTAACAGATAGCAAACTAACAGAATACATATGTAATACAATTCCTTCATCCATAAGCATTGAATGGATAAGAAAAGTATGCACTCACAGCCTTTATTATGACATAGTGGTTAAAAGAAGGTAAGGGATGGTTAATCTAACTCGTTCAAGTATGCATCTGAAGACTGTATACACCTACGTACACTTACCATGAAATGAACACTATTCAATATAGTGGGACTTAATTCTCTGCATAGCATTGATGTACAGAACTGAGAGCATACAGTAATTTACTGCTTTGAAAGAAAAGCCCTGCTCTGAAGCATGAAGCAACCTCACAGCATTCAGTTCCAAAAAGGGTGCTGTTTTCCTGCTGCCATTCTCTGTCTCTCTGTGTCATTATAAATATAAGCTCAGATCTAAAGTTAAGTGTTATTTTGACTTTTCACTTCAAAGGCAAAAATAGTTAAAGAAGCAGGTGCTACCTCAGTATTATTCTCTGGGCAGAACTCCAGAAAAAGACACATTATTTCCACGCACGTCTGTTAAAGGAGTTGAAAGGCACATGGTCTCCTGTGACAAGTCATTTAGAATGAAAGGGAAGAGCATATACAGTATACTGTATTTGGCTCTCTCCATTGCTATTCACTCCTGAACCATCATGTCAAACACTGCAGAGGGGGCGCAAGGGAAGGAACACGAGTGATGACTCCGTTGCAGCCTGACTTGGCATGGGAAGCTCTTCTCTGGCTTTCTACTTTAATCATGGGTTTAAACAAGTTCATGGGAAGGGGTCAGAGGACCTTGCTGCCATGGCTATTTTTAATCATGTTATTGGACCTGCAATTAGCTGTGTTACCTAACAGTGAAATCAAGATGAAAGGACAGAGGCAGCAAAAAGATCAGTTGCTGACATTTTCATTCACCACTGACTCTTTAGAGATGTACTGGAGAGGGAATAGAATGGGGAGGGGCATTCATATTTCAGTTCTTACCTACTATATATAAAACACCTTCCTTTTCAATGTAATCACAGATGTGCTTTACTACATTTTTAGAAAATCCTTCATGTTCTGTCCTGAAGCCATCAGGCCACATACCATCCTAACAATGGTGCTACAAGGTTTAGTCTATTAATGGCACTACTGAGCCATTCAGTACATCTAAACTGCAAACTAAAAAGTGGTTTAATCATAATTTACTTTCCCCAGGAAAATTACTGACATATACCTCACAGGATCCTGTGGAAGAAACCATAACAGTTGAACTGTCATAAGACTGCTCCAGATTTGTTATTACAGATAGGTCTCCCTAATCTTTATTTCAGATAAGCTTTATGCATAAGTGAGACATAACAGAAAGAAAAAACAACCTTCATTTGTTACTAAAGGAAATACTGTAAATAAGTCTACTAGTGTCTGTAACAATTAATTCATCTCTGCAGGATCAATGTCATTGGCAGAAGACAAAAATGGTGCAATGAATTTTCATTGTAAGTAGTGATTGCTTTACATAATCTGTTTTACAGTTCACTATGAAGTTCATGGGGACGTGGTGGCGCTGCGGGCTAAACCGCAGAAGCCTCTGTGCTGCAGGGTTAGAAGACCAGCAGTCGTAAGATCGAATCCACGCGACAGAATGAGCTCCTGTCACTTTGTCCCAGCTCCGCGCCAACCTAACAGTTCGAAAACATGCAAATGTGAGTAGATAAATAGGTACCACCTCCCTGGGAAGGCAAAACAGCGCTTCCTAGTCATGCTGGCGACATGACAACGGAAGCTGTCTTCGGACAAGCGTTGGCTCTATGGCTTGAAAAACGAGATGAGCACCACCCCCTAGAGTTGGACATGACTGGACTAAAAATGTCAAGGGGAACCTTTACCTTTGGAGTTCACAGTCCACAACCCATTTATGTATGTATTACCTGTCATCCTTTGACATCTTAATGTTGCTGGACAGACAAAAAGATCTATGGCCCTGCCAGGTGGTCATGGCTCAGTTGTTCACTCTGATATCATTGAGGAGTTTGGCATATTATGGATAGACAGCTGAATGCACAACACTGTTGTTTACTCCTATTGTGTTCAAAGTCAAAATAGCTATTTCATATCCAGTAGAAGAGGGATGTGGTGGCGCTGCGGGTTAAACCATAGAAGCCTCTGTGCTGCAAGGTCGGAAGACCAGCAGTCATAAGAT